TTAAAATTACTTTATTCCTTTCTTTCTACCTGCTAATTCTTTCTTCCTTTACTATATCCTTATATTTAATCCTTCTTTTATATATTACTACGATCGAATTAACTACTTCTGTGACTTCAATGTTCGTTTTGGTGTGCTAATGAGGTATGGCAACCTGGACCGATGCATATATGTGCATGGTCTTAGGTTGTAGATGACTGACTGACTCACATCAACTTAGCGCCCAAATACTGTGAAATTAATCGATCAAATTTAGACGAAAGTTCTTATAAACTATCATTATATGTATTATTGTATTGGATAAGATTTTACAAGGATACCACACTCACTCATTTATAAGTTTTCTTGACAACTTCTATGGAATATTGTTGGTTTCCTGTTTGAACTATTTTGGATAATCAATATAAACATTTAGATATTTATTATTACGTCATATTTTCATAGCTGAATTTATGTGGAAGAGTCCCATATTAGGACGAAACGATCGTCTAGTGCTTCCAAGTTTTCAGTAGTAGACTAGCTTAGATCATATAGGCATGCTTATTGACGTCCGTTTTAACTTTAAAAACATCATTTGACTCTGTAGATAAATAGGTTCTGTGATAGTGAAAAGTGAATAAACCATGTGAAGGCTCTTTGCTTTAACACTACCAATCGAATCAGAGCTTATAGAAAACTTTTATCTGATTTCACAATCTCAAGCGGTATCCATAAAGGCTGTACACTATCCTCTGAAAATAACATTCTCGTCGATTGAATTTTCAGGCATTGATCTCCTAGTAGAAGATACATTTATCAATTTAGGATAAGCAGATGATGTTGTTTTTTTTATTTTGTTTGAACACATAAATATTGGTACAAGAAAGCACCTAACATATATGCTCCACACAGATCTCGTTTGATATGTGTGAGGGCTGTGATACTGCCCAAGTGCCCAAACCGAAGCAGGTGGTTTACTTAGGGGGCCACACTCGGAGCCTTTGACCTAAAGCTCTGATCCATAAGGCAGTGGAGCATCGTGAGGAGATGCAGTCCCATGGTAGCCGGTGACCGACGATTGGTTCATACGCCATTTTTTCCTTCAGGATACTGGAGCCAGCCCATGTGCACCATTGGTTTGGGATCCGGTTAGAGCGTTGGACATTCGCTTTTTGTCCTCTCATTTTCGTAAACAACAGTTATGCCACGAGAAGGGTACTGAGTAGGACTTCCCTAGAAGAGGCTCTATACGCATGGCCGTGTGAGAGCATTTCGAGAATGTGAACGGCCCACCCCACTCTCGGCCATACCAGGGCATTTAGGGGCTTTTATGTGTCGGAGGTGGGATTCGAACCTACGCCCACATCATGGACCAGAACACCCAGAAGAACACTTTTCCGGCGACCATACCACGTTGAAAGCACCGGTTCTCATCAAATGATATTGAGTCTTATTTGATAACACTAATCAATAATATCAGGATATTTAGTATTCGGTTAAATCGATTGGTGAATACATTCTCCACAAATCTCCATACTTATTATATACTGTAGTGAACAAGATCACGTGTGGGGAACAATCGAATGTATTTGACAAACAAATTACAGAACTAGTTAGTAAAATCTAACAATCCTGTAATCAATAGTCGTTCTTTACTATTCAATCTTCTTGTCTCTCTCTCTGCTGCCAGAAATTTTGTTCCTTATCAACAAAAGTATCGGCAGCCTGCTTGAATATCTGGGGTACCTGTTCCTCCCATCTAGATATTTCGTCAAGTTATCATTTTTCTTGCGCGTTTATGAAAAGTTTACAACCTTTCGCTGTACGGATAACAAAAAGGTACAACCAGAGACATCATGGTGGTTTGCAATATGCATTGAAACGAATGAACATTATTCAGATGTCGATTATCGAACTCCTAACATCTAACTGGCCATCCCTCAATATTTATCATCAGGATCGATCAAGATATAAGAAAAGGAAACTTGTTGAAATACTTTATGCTGAGAATTCAATAGTGTACCAAAAATATAATGTTGAATAAAGCTTATAATAATATCAATATCAATATACTACTTATGTCTACATAAGTAGTACACACCACAATACTACTATAATAAGTAATATTTCAATAGTACTATTCTCATCTTAACTTCTATGATTAAATAATTCACTATTATAATTATATTATTCTTAATAATAATTTAAACTATCTATTTATTACACATATTGTATTGAATATTATTACAAGCCTTACATTAATGTTTCATATACAAAGTTAATTGATGAATAGATCTAAATCAAGTTCTAATTGAATATGAATCTCATGAGATTTAATGAACTTCTTGTTATACATCATCTGTTAATACATCCATTCATAGGACTTGATAAAGATAGATAACCTTCTTTTATCTAATTCATTTCAATAGAATATTCTATTATAAGTTAATTTATATTATCAAACAGTTGTATACTAACTAAATAAATTGAATATGACCTAAGATAAAATTGAATCTTTGATAGAATTGTATCCAATATATATGAATAATTGAATTGAGAATTTTTGGTTTTATTTATGTGAACATATAGATATTAGTATAAAATGGTCAACGAATACATATGCATCATTATAATTGATTGATTATTGGGTAGTGATCAATAACATGGGTGTCCGGTGGTTCTATCGATCAAGTTGCAATGTGGTCACTAGTTTAAATGTTGAGATCAGATGATGATTGGAGGTAGTCAATGGGAAATACTGGACCTGGGATTCGTGTTATTTGGCATTCGTCAGTAAGGTGTACTTGTAATCTTGAGAGAAATTGTGCTTGATCTTTACTAAGAAGTAATTGACACACAATATATTGATCACCATCCGGCGATCAATCAATTTTGATTACATCTCAGTGCTATAGGAGGTCGGTCACGGTTCGAGTAACCCAGAGGTAACGTCTTTGACTGTGAAACTCTGTGACACGGGATGGAATCCGTTGGGGAGCACCAGTTCCCTAAAATTATTACAGGTACACCTTGCTGACTAGTGCCTATTAACACGAATTCCGGGTCTAGAATTACCTCCAATCATCATCTAATCTCAACATATGCGCCATGCAAGTGACTTGATTTGTGTATGGGTTATGATACTGCTTATGTGTCCAGACTGAAGCAGGTCATTTTGTTAGGGGGCACACTTGAAGCTTTGGATTTAAGGGTCTAATCCACAAGATAGTGGTGCAATGTCAGGAGATACATTCGTATGGCAGGCGGTGACCAACGAACGGTTCATACATCATTTGTTCCTTCAGAATCATGGATCTCATGTATACCATTGGTTTCAAATCAGCGTTTCCCAACTTCCTTAGGTGGACCCTCCACGTCCGCCAACCTGGTTAATACACCGTCCATTCGCTTTTGTTCCTTACAATTTTGTTAAAAAAAACACCCCTTTTGCGAGAAGGCAATGAGTAGGATATTCATGCTAGTAGCTGAATACGCGTAGCCATGTGAAAGCATTTCGAAAAATACCGATGACATTTGAAGGAGATCATTAAATCAAACAGTTGTTTTTCACAAATACTTTGTTAAACTCACAATTTGTTCATCGTTTAAGTGGTTTTAGCTTCAAAGTTGTCGAAATCATATCAAACACATCTATTGATAAATAACTGGAATGAACTGTAATTCAATGAATGTGCACGTTCAACTAAAGTTTTCTTATTGTTTCCACTTGCAGTTATTTCCAGTTGTTATTAATACTAACATGGATTTCCATTGAAAATCTTGACTTATTATATTCACCTGACGGCTAGTACTACATGGTTTGTGGCGCAAATTAGATTGAACTATTTGTACAAAGTACAAATTTTTTGGTCTAGAAGTTAAGCATTCACGTGCGAGACCAGTAGGTCCTGGATTTGAATCTCGTAGGGCAGAATCGTGAATACGCATTTCTGAAGAGTCCCGCAATACGACGAAATGGTAATCCACCCCTTCCAGGTGTTCTATAGTTGTCTAGCTTCAAATGACTCATGATTTCAACTATCAAAATTACTATAATATCCACAATCGATCCATCTAAATTCATTTTGTCTAGCCTGTTAGCTATCTATTATCCCACAAACGTTATAAATTATATCATATTCACCATATCAACTTAAGCATTTATAAATGCACAAATTAGATGAAATCCGTCAACACTTAGAATCTTGCCAGAACAAATGTTCTTTAAGAATGAATTTAGGTCATTGAATTTGTCACGATTTTCAAACATAATCAATCCATGATGATCTATGTTTAACTGTAACTGTAGAAGAAGTTATTAAAAAGTTCATTTCACAGTTAGAACTTCGACTTAAACTTGACACATTATTTTTTTTGTTGTTGGTTTCTAACATTGTCTTTTCTGACGGCCTATCAACAACATGTAGAATAGTACATCTCCGAAACCAAATTATATTACTATAATTATATGACAAAAGAAAAACTTTGTAAACGTCAATCAGTATATTGATTGTTTTGATCTATTTCTTGACTTCAGTCAATATTCAGTATTGAATGTTTATTATGTTATAGATTTCATCATAATTTATATTCAATAAATTAAATTGGATTAAGATCATTATTCGATTAATGTTAGACCACTATTGAAATCCTGGAAGTACTGAACAGTCGTTTCGTATACTTGACGAGTGACTAACATCGTAAAGGAATTCTCAGAGTTCTAGTGAGAAGTCATGACCACTGAAACTAATCCATGTCAGGTAGAGATAGGTATCTATTTCAGTATAATGGATTTGTTGAGGTTAGATATACCGGATCAGTAGTGGTCTAGAGTTTATGACCGAAGGCCTTAAGTTCAAATAGCGCATACGGGATCGTGGATGCTCACTGCTGAGGAGTCACAAAATAGAACGAAACAACCATCCAGCACTTCTAGGTTTTCAATGGTCGTTCACAATTCTATCCTGACAATTAAACTTGATTTCGATTTCTTTTTATTTCTATTCCATTATTTATTCAAGATGCTGATAAACTAGTTCAATCTTCGTTATCAACAACATCAGACATTATGAAAAATGCACAATATACTACTTATAATCATACAGTTACACAAGGTGAACAAATCACATTACATTGTATACCAGATCATAACACAAATTTCATTATATGGTACTTTACACCAATGATTATCATGAAGAATAATAATAATAATAATATCAAAGCATTATCATTATCTCATCGAAATGATTCATCTATGAACGAAACTATGATGGAAACGATTGAATTAGCTGTTTGTAAACCTAATGTAACATGCAAGTAAGTTAATTTTGTAAAGTATATTTACTATCATTAAACTTTATAGTGAACATTATGAGCTAATTATAGGGAAACAACACATTAATGATAGTACAATAGTATTGTGGTATGGGTTGCTTATATCCACATAAGTAGTATATAACGGTGATTAGGCATAGAATGTTTTTCAGTAGAAGGTCGATGAGGAAAGAACGAGAACGAGACGAAACGCAATTGGTATGAAAATTCATGAACAATAAAATCTGAGACAATCGATTAATGTTTGCAACACCAACAGTCAAGTTTGTGATGATGGATTAATATTTTGCAAATTCACGATTTACTATATATGGTTCTCAGATTTTATTGAGATGCTCTGTAATTATGTGCACAAATATGTTCGATTGTCCCCATTGGTGTTTTAGTTCACTACATTTAGTAACGCTGCCAATCGAGAGAGGGAAAGGGTGCTGTTCAGCGGGCGCCGTCGCGGGCCTGGAGCTGAGGTGCTAGTTGTGGCAGTCTGGTGTGGAGTGGTGGCGTCGATTGGAGTGGTGGCGTCGAGTGGAGTGTTCTGACGGGAAGGCGTTGGCTGTAGTAGGTGCTGTCGACAAAGAGGAGCGGTGGGACGTACGGCTGCTGGGGGAACATCTGTTGTAGATGGCTCAGCAGGCCGGTGTGGCACGGGTGTTAAACGTCCCAGGTGCCGGGCGGATGTCGGATGTTGGTACCCTGACAGGTCGACGGAGAAACTGAGGCCAGCGCGCCGCAGACTCGACATTTTGACGGAGGGTGTAGCACGGACTGCAGAAAAGAAGAATTTTGCACGGCGGGCATGAACCGCCGCAAGAACAAATGCTTTAAAGGGGGGACGAGTGTGGTGTGGGTTACTTACATCCACGCAAGAAGTATATAACAATGGTCAGGCATACAATGTATTTCAGTAGAAGATCAATAAGGAAAAAAAACGTTACACATTTGGTATGAAAATTCATGAACAATAAAATCTGAGACAATCGATTAATGTTTGCAACAGGAACAGTCAAGTTTGATATGATGGATTGATATTTTGCAAATTCACGATTTACTATATATGGTTCTCAGATTTTATTGAGATGCTCTGTAATTATATGCCTAAATACATTCGACTATTATCAGAAAAGGGTTTTGTGTAGATTTTAGAAATTGCACTTTACTCATAATTTCTGTTATGATTTGATGTCCGGCTTACGATCACGTGACTTGTACACCAATCAGAATACGGCTTATACGAATATTCGCACTATGACAAGACCAATGACGTTCAATCGGTCTGAGCAGTCTAGCGTCCTATTGGGTCCTACGTCCTTCTAACTCGTCCTCTTGAGTCCAGAACACAATACCAGCTTCCGAATCAACCAAAATCGAACCAAATCATTTATTTCAGACATACTTGGTTTATATATCAATCAGGCAGACCACAACGTACCATAAAATAGAAATTAACATATGTACACAAATAGGCCAAAAAGTGGCTGTGAATGTGGGAGACAGCGATTAATAAACTGAACATAATTTAGGGACAGTAAATCGTACAGTGATAAATTATAGGTCAAAGTGAAGCTTATGATAAGGGGAATATAAATATACATAACCTAACTAATGAATAGTTATACCGTAAGAATATATAGGTAATATTAGTCAATTAATGTCTCAGAAATTACTCGTGATTTAATCTTTGCTCTGATATAACAATTTCAACTAGTGACATTCGATTGTCCCCACTAATGTTCTTGTTTACTACAGTATCAGGATTTAACTCTTGTAAGAAGATCTGTAATTAATGGATTTGATTTAGAAGATGGTTGTGAATTTACATTAATGAATAGTTTATGATCTTAATTGTTTAGTACATTTTAGATTACATTGATTATATACATGAAATCAGTTTATGATACAGTAAAAATAAGATGTACGTTGTTGAAACATTTATAGTTCTTTAATATCAGAAGGATTTCGTGGATATTGTAGTAATTTCAATGTTTAAGATCATGAGTCAGTTGAAGCTAAACCACCATGGAAAACCTGATATTATGCAACATATGCTCACTAATGACTGGTTTCAAGAGGTATATCCTGTAGTTCTAGTAAAAAGGAGTAACCAGTGGGGTTCAACCAGGTCTGTTTTAATATAATAACTCACTGAAGATAATGGTGGATGTGTTATTCTATTTCGTGGATTAGTTGAAGTTAGACATTAACACCGTTGGATGCCAGCTCAGTAATCTAGTTATTAAGTGATTACGCGCGAGACTGGTAGATTCAGGGTTCAAATCTACATTTAATTGTCAATACGGCAAACAATTTTACTTTGATGAATATATCCATATTTCTGATTGGATAATTATGATAGAAATAATTTTCATTTGAGTGAAGATAGATAGTGGCTAGCAGTGGAATCCAGTTAGAGGGGCGATTTGTCCTACTTGAGATTTGTCAGCTAGATGTATCTAGCCACTATCCATCGTTGTTTGAAAAGCTTTTGACTTAAGGCAATATCGAGGCAATCTGTACAAGATACACTTATGCCAACATGAGAATAATCATTTGCAGTCATAAATAACAATCGTAAGATACAAGAAAAAACAGCATCAATTGAATTTAAACTTCACCCGATTGTACAAGCAAGTGGCTGTCAAGACTCAATAGATAAGTGGATAACGTGATGGCGTTTGAAGCGAACTGTACTGAGTTCGAGTGCCGGAGAGAACATCAACTTTGAGATGCAGATATATCTAACTGATAAGTCCCAAATAGGATGAAACGCGCATCAAACTGGATTCCATTACTAGCTAGTATACATCTTCGTTGAAATGGCTTGTGAATTAGGGCCATACCGAGGCAATCCGCACAGGATGCACATATGCTAATAAGAGACTGATCAATTGCAGTCCTAAATAACAATTGGAAGATATACAAAAAAAACTACACTAAGTGAATTGAAGTACATGGTTCTATTATTAACTGAATACTGAATAGGTCAGTCAATCAACGTTAATAATGTTTAAAGTATTATGTAAGAGATATGTGATGTGCAATGAAAAGTGTGTTAAGATAACACATTGTGTGTATATATGTAATTGATATGAGAAGCAATTTCACTGGTCGGTAGAATTCAAGAGAGAGACATATAATTTTCTTATGTCATATGAATCAAATATGTCACAACATGCATAGAAACAATGAAGATAAATAAGTAAGATAAAGGAATGAATTCAAAAAGGACAAATGTATTTATCAATCAATGTTTGTATTCATATTCAGATCATTTCAATAATTGAGATCTTGAGTCAATTGAAGCGAGACAAGCATGGAATACCTGGAATCACTAGACAACCGTTTCGTTCTTTCTAATATATTCAGATAAGACAATGGATTAGAATAGTTGAATGTAATTGCTGTTATTCAAATGATGAAATAAAGAGTTCAGGTTTACTTATTAATTATTAGTTGCTATGGGACAGTTAATTGTATTTCATCTCTCCTGTTTGGATTAGCCCATATGTGTAAGGCTTCAGATGTTAGTCTTTCTTTGTAAAAGATAACGCCTTATTGAAGGATTCTTGTGCTATATGATCCAATTCTATAGAGTGTAATGTTATTGCATATTTGTTCTCGAGTTTTCTTACATTATCTTAGAATTTAGGAATGTGATTTAACAGTAGTTTGTGTTCATTCACCTTCACATTCAATTGCCTTAATATTTCACCTACACATATGGTATTACAGTCATTAAATTTCATTTCATAAACACAATTCCATTGTTCCTCTTTGTGTATTCGATCAATGATTTATATTAATTTTGATCTCAGATCATTATTTGTTCGAAAGAAGTGTTTAGATCGTTCTGATCTCTTTTGAAATGCCACTGTGTTAACTTGTTCCTTTGGATATAATTCTTTGTATTAATATCGTTTAGATCCTCATTCTTAATACATTGCGTATCACTTGAGCACTCGAACGCTAGAAACTTCCTAAGTAGTAAATAAGAAGACAGAATACAAGTGAAAGGGATGCTATTCCAAAACAATGTCAATTATGGTATAAAAATGTCAAGTATTTATAGTTTTTTTGAGTAAAACCGAAATAATCATTATAGTCATCCAATCCTCATACAAGGGGTTATTAGGATTTGTTCAATACGGAAGCTACACGTGGAGATCCTGGAATATTCTCTGAAAAGATGATTAGGTGGGATATTTTCAGCTATTTCTGAGCTTCTTAGGGCTTCCTCAAATTCACTCGTGGGCCGTCCTCACATTCATCATCAGAACGAATATATCTAGATTTATTTCCATTTCTATATCATTTAGTTCAGTGACACGTTTTTGAACACTGGTTATCAAATTCTTGACCACCGTCACTTTTGGTACAGTATGGATATGCTGACCTAAAATCTAAAAATTTCCTTGAAGATGTCGGCTTTTGGAATATATTTATTTTTAAATAATCATTATATCTCCTTTCACCTAAATCGTCTAGTAAAGGTCATTTGCGTTCAATAGACTTCAACTCCCTAGTGAACTTGATGTTGTCTTAAATGATGTAAACATGTTTAATTAGATCGTCTAAGCTATCTCATTTTATAGTAACAAAAGAGTCATATACCTATCTTAACGAAACGTTTGATGAAAGGGGGTACATTGAGATTGAACTTGTTCTCAAAAAAGGCATGAATAAGTTAAGAATCATTGGAGAAACCAGTGATCTCATAGCTACATCTTCTGTTTGTCTGGAGAGACATACTCAAAAACTGAAAACAGTTGGAGGTAAACATAAATCCAACACTTTAATAAAGTTTGAAGTGCCTAATGGACATTGTTATTTAAGTTCAGTGTCAGAATACTGTGAAACTATTCGATCAAATTTAGACAAAAGTTCTCTTGAAGTGAAGTAGATAAGCAAAACCTTTTTTTTCTGGTATCAAATCATTATAATGTTCCCATATTCCAAACAAAATGATTACTGAAACTGTACACAAA